TGCACAGAATTGTTTTTTTTTTTGCTGTTTTTTTTTTTTTGATTAATTGTTTTATGTGTAATTAAAAAATAACTATGCATACCTTTGTGTTGCATGAAAAAAAACATGCATTTTTGAACCTGAAGGGTTCTACAAGCTGAGCGGACTATAAATATCTCCGGTTGCTAAATAAACCGTCAGGCAAGTTATTATTTGTAAAAACTAGATTTAGCCTAATTAAAATATAAACTAATGTTTTAAAAATGTTTTATTTGGCAAGTGACCATGGTATTAGCGGGTTAATACCCTCCGAGGTGTCCATTGTCAGGTTTTAATGGACCTCCGCTGCGCATCGGCCGGTTCCCGCCTCGCCGTCGTCCATTAAAACCTGACAATGGACACCTCGTCGGGCATTAGCCCTTACTTAATAGTGAACACTATTCCAAAGAAAAATCTATAGTGTTCTGTCCTATATTTCACAGTTGTTCACACAGAAATCAGCCTGTCTGCATGTCAAAAGCATCAGTCCTGCCAATTAAAATGGTTCCACAGTAACAGAGATGAACTGGCCAATACAGTGCCACAGAATCCTCACACAAACACTGCAGCCTCACAGCGAGTGTGTGCTCATTAAAATCAGCCACTGTTCTCCTTTACCTGTAATGAAAGTAGCACATTACAGTCACTTACAGGTCTCAGATTCAGTCCATAATTAGCCGGCAGAAACTCAAGGCATTCGTCAGACAATAGAGCTGTTTGATTGCCTGTAAAACCTTTTTTTTCTTTCTGAAGACTATGCAGTCAGGCACAATGTTTGTTTTAACACTACAACAGAGCAACATTTGTTGAGCCAATTTACTAAACATTGTAGCAATATTTCAAACCACATCCCCCCCGACCCCCAAAACACTGACTGACCACTTAAACAAATAAAACAATCCACAATTACACTGTTCTGGCCTATACAGAATCAGATAGAATATCCAATAGTCAAGTAGAGTTGAATTTTATTATAACAAAATGATGAACCAAATAACTTTCATGCTGTTAATTATATTCATGTATTATGCGAGTTGTGAACTTGCTGTCTGAAATGTGAGGAAAAGTCCCAAAAGAATTGTTAAAGGAGTAGTTCACTTAAAAAAAAAAAAAAAAACATTTGCTGATAATTTACTCACCCCCATGTCATCCAAGAGGTCCATGTCTTTCTTTCTTCAGTTGAAAAGAAATTAAGGTTTTTGATGAAAACATTCCAGGATTTTCTCTATATAATGGACTTCAATGGGAACCAAACAGTTGAAGGTCCAAAAGACAGTTTCAGTGCAAACTGTTCAAAGGGCTTTAAACGACACCAGACGATGAATAAGGGTCTTATCAAGCGAAACGATAAAATCTAGCGAAAAATAAATAACAAAGTTTAAGTTTTATAACCTCAAATGGTCGCCTTGGTCTGTTCTGTGATGCGCGTTCGTGACTCTCCTGTTCGAACTCGTTCATCAAAATGAACAAATCTTTTCCCGAGTCAACTCGTTCATTTCGTTCGTTGAATGAACCAAATGACACGAAAAAAGATTCGTTCATTTTGATAAACGAGTTCGAACAGGAGAGTCGCGATCGCTCATCACAGAACAGAGCAAGGCGACCATTTGAGCTTATAAAACTTAAACTTTAAATGAGCGATCGTTTCGCTTAATTCGAAAAATGCTGGAATTTTTTCATTAAAAACCTTAATTTCTTTTCTTGGATGACATGTGGGTGAGTAAATTATAAGCAAAAGTTTTTTTTTTTTAAAGTGAACTACTCCTTTAATGGAATCATTATGTGGAATCGGAACCAACAAATGAAGTGCTTTGCCTTGTGTGAGGCGGGAACTGTGTCGCCCTTCGAAATCCCACATGACAACAAAGGAGGTTCTCCAGATGTTTTCTATGTGGTTAACACAGTCCACTTTGCAGTCCACTCATCCTCCCTGACCAGCATGCTTTGCATTGCCGAACCTGCAGCTCTTTGTAGTGACCCTGCAGGGGTCCTGTAAATCAACAGCCACCGGTCAGTGGATTAAAGTGATGCCTGCCAGCTTCATACAACTACAAAGAGTTCGTTCATTCGGCTGCTTTGATCACAATCATTAAAAATGGATTGCAGTCCATTGCATTTCTCATCTCATCTCGCGCCCTCATCTACGCCTGCAACTTTAGAAAGAAAGATATTTCATCCACCTCTTTCCTGAACATGGATGACTCCTAAAGACTGTAGTCGTTTTGCAGTCAGTGAAAATAAAATGTTAGGGACCACAGATTTCCAGGATGTCAAAAAACTGGACGGAATACAAATGGAATTTAAAATATAATGTGGAATGTGTCACGGAATTTGGAGAATTTTGGAGAGAGCAGCACACTTAATCGAATCGCGATATGGAATCGTCGAAATAACTTGTGATTGTGGCAAATATACATTAAAAAGCAGAATGCACACCTTAAAGACGTCAAAGTAATACAAACCGAATTCCATAAAAGTTGGGACACTGTACAAATTGTGAATAAAAACAGAATGCAATGATGTGGAAGTTTCAAATTTCAATATTATATTTAGAATACAACATAGATGACATATCAAATGTTTAAACTGAGAAAATGCATAATTTTAAGGGAAAAATAAGTTGATTTTAAATTTCATGGCATCAACACATCTCAAAAAAGTTGGGACAAGGCCATTTTTACCACTGTGTGGCATCCCCTCTTCTTTTAATAACAGTCTGCAAACGTCTGGGGACTGAGGAGACAAGTTGCTCAAGTTTAGGAATAGGAATGTTGTCCCATTCTTGTCTAATAAAGGCTTCTAGCTGCTCAACTGTCTTAGGTCTTCTTTGTTGCATCTTCCTCTTTATGATGCGCCAAATGTTTTCTATGGGTGAAAGATCTGGACTGCAGGCTGGCCATTTCAGTACCCGGATCCTTCTTCTACGCAGCCATGATGTTGTAATGGATGCAGTATGTGGTTTGGCATTGTCTTGTTGGAAAATACAAGGTCTTCCCTGAAAGAGACGATGTCTGGATGGGAGCATATGTTGTTCTAGAACTTGGATATAACTTTCAGCATTGATGGTGCCTTTCCAGATGTGTAAGCTGCCCATGCCACACGCACTCATGCAACCCCATACCATCAGAGATGCAGGCTTCTGAACTGAGCGCTGATAACAACTTGGGTTGTCCTTGTCCTCTTTAGTCCGGATGACATGGCGTCCCAGTTTTCCAAAAAGAACTTCAAATTTTGATTCGTCTGACCACAGAACAGTTTTCCACTTTGCTAGAGTCCACTTTAAATGAGCCTTGGCCCAGAGAAAACGCCTGCGCTTCTGGTTCCCGTTTAGATATGGCTTATTTTTTGACCTATAGAGCTTTAGCCGGCAACGGTGAATGGCACGGTGGATTGTGTTCACTGACAATGTTTTCTGGAAGTATTCTTGAGCCCATGTTGCGATTTCCATTACAGTAGCATTCCTGTGTGTGATGCAGTGCCGTCTAAGGGCCCGAAGATCACGGGCATTCAGTATGGTTTTCCGGCCTTGACCCTTATGCACAGAGATTGTTCCAGATTCTCTGAATCTTTGGATGATATTATGCACTGTTGATGATGATAACTTCAAACTCTTTGCAATTTTTCTCTGAGAAACTCCTTTCTGATATTGCTCCACTATTTTTTGCCTCAGCATTGGGGGAATTGGCGATCCTCTGCCCATCTTGACTTCTGACATTTAACTTTTCTGGCCTCTTATTGCTACCTGTCCCAACTTTTTTTGGAATTTGTAGCTCTCATGAAATCCAAAAGGAGCCAATATTTGGCATGGCAATTCAAAATGTCTCACCTTCAACATTTGATATGTCATCTATGTTGTATTCTAAATATAATATTGAAGTTTGAAACTTCCACATCATTGCATTCTGTTTTTATTCACAATTTGTACAGTGTCCCAACTTTTATGGAATTGGGTTGTATAATAATTAATAAATACCAATAAAATCTATATTAAATATATCAAAAGAAAAAACAGAACAAAAAAATATTCTAGCTTTATGCATTCTTTTCTTTTTATCAACACGTGTATTTGGGTAAGTTTCATAAAAACAAAACAAAAAACATTTTGCGCAAAAAGCAGAGAAAATCACATTGTCGTTAAAGACTACATCCAGATCGGATTCAGAACGATGATCAAAACACAGATGGAGTCGATCGAGTCTATCAACACCCCACAGCCGCAGTCCTACAGCTCGTCCTGGGTCGACATTTCATTCAGTAACATTACACAGGTTTGATTTATATGCTGTTTAATGTTGATAATGATCGCGTTATTTTACAAATGCATCTGCTTACATATGAGATCACTTGTTTCTGCTTCTTCTTCACCTGTGTTTTGATCTGGAGATTCAGTTCTCTTTCAGAAGATGTGATAGCGCCCCCTACCATATAACAGTGAAAACATAGGACGACTAAAATGTTGGTGTTCAACTTTGCGTTTTAAAAATACAACAACCATTCATTTTTCGTTTTGCAACGACCGTTTGGACATAATACAAGATAGAGTTCTTGATTAAATTCATTAAAAAAAAAGAAACGATAATTACAGGAATAGCCTCTCTAAACCTCAAAGAAATGCCATTAAGACATCGAAGCAGAAATAAGGGAGAAACACCAGGAACTCCGTGTCTTTCCCTGCCATTAATGCTTGGATAACACACCATATCTCCGCCCATTAATAATAATAATGTCTAGTGCGGTGCATGGCTGTGATATAGGTTATGAACCTACCAACGCCCGTTGCCATGATTTTTGGAATGACTTATCGAGAGAGGAAAAAAAAAAGACGTTTTAGTCGCATAACATCGGTTAATGGAAACACCGTCATTTCGCGATAGTTTTTTATCGACATTTGGAAAATATCACAAAAGTTTTGCGCAAATCATTAATGGAAACACGCCTACTGGGTCAAACCAGTGGGAGTGCGAGTATGACGCACGACTAACCTTCTGAACTTGTCTCTCATTTTCTCCAGGTCGTCTCTGGTTCGACCCAGCTCGGCCTGCATGTAATGTCGACTGGTTTCAAACTCCGTCTCCATGGCCTCCATCTTATGAGTGGTCTGGGACAGCCGGCGCCGGATGTCTTCATTCTGCTGCTGCAGGAGCCTGAGAAATAAACCAGAGCAGCGAAAGACGTGAGAAACAGCATTTTCATGCTTTTTCTGCACACTAGCATAAAGAACTCTTTAATATCCATTCTGAAGACTGTCCATCATCCACATCACCTTGCCATACCCGGGACAGCATGTGTGTGCATTCCGGATGCAGATCTCACATTACCTCGGTATTCTTTTAACCAATATCTGTCATGTTTAGTATCATTTTACAGCTCAAATAGTAGAGGTGTTTGAGATGCCGGTTTCATTTGAATGTATTAAAGAGACAAAAGAGACACTCTTAAAGAGACACACACCTTTACAGGCCTTCTCTGTCTCTCTCACATCATGAGCATCTCATTCGTGTTCATATTTAGAGTCATGAATGGTGTGTTCGCGCATTTCACCAGGTTTGACATCAATGATGCCAATGGCGCGAGTGAAGCATGTGTCAGAAGTGTTTGCATCATGCATGATTCATATGGGGGATTTTGTATGACAGCGCACCACAACCTCTTTCACTGTGGCCTTTTATATTTAACTCGTGTTGTTTAATAAATAATTTCACTTCCCTGAAGTTGTCCTCTTCCATAGAACGTTTTACACAATCAGGTGATCTGAACTTAATCATGGTTTCCAATGAGCGAAGAAATCATTTCCAAAGAATGAAGAAACCCTTTTCTGGTGGACAAGCAGATTTTATATATGAACAACAGCTTTAATGGACTCAGATTAATTTTATATGAGAACGATAAATAATTAAACATTGCATCTCATCGTTCAGCTGCTTTTTTTGTATTGGTTCAAAATAGAAGCTGTAACATCCAGCCCTATTTCATATGGGGGCGGCCCATGCATCCGACGCGCAGTTTCATTTACCACACACACTAAAGCACGTGTGACACTTGCTATGTTTTGTTGCTTATATTAAGACACAAATGCATGAACTTCCTCTCCAGGCTCTAGATCCACTCTTCGTCATCATTTAATCGCTTTATTCAAGAAAAACTATCATCCTGACAAACACACAAAACCAAAGGACTCCAGGTGCACCCCTGCTCACATCCTACATCCAACATAGCCAAGACTCCATCACTCCACAGAACAACACATCCACAACACTTTAGTAATCTGGACGTGTTGACATGTGGCTAGTGCAAACCTAATGCAAAAAAAAAAATACAGTACATGTGTGCAAAACACTGAACAATCCTGAGCCGGATGATTAAAAGGTGCAGCATTAGGCGAAATGTTGAGTCTACTGAGAGCGAGTTAAGGTTTAGTCATGCAGGTGTGTGAATGTGGGATTAGGAGCAGTACAAGAGTGTGTGTGTGCAGCTGCAGTGAAGCAGAACATATCTGCTGTGTACCAGCAGTCACACTTCTGCCGTCTCATCTCTATACCCACACAAACATCATGTGTTACTTCTCATTTTGTGTTTATTGTTATAGGGGAATAACTGTATATTTTTTCACTATCCAATATTAATTGTTAAAAAGGGATACTTCACCTCTGGAAAAATGAATGTGTATTTAAATGGGTCATTTATGTAGAAGAAATGTGAAATTATTTTTGAATTTGGAAATTTCTAGACTGAGAAAAGCCAGAAAATTTATTTTTGGCTGATGTGGATGAAAAACAACAACTCCCAGAATGCACTTGCTTCGCTGCCCTAGGAGGCCACGCCTACAGGTAACAGAGCGCAGTAGAGAAAGCAGGAAAACGACGCGGGTCATGTTTACTGTGGCGAGTGGGACGAGTGAGGGCCGCGGGAGAACGACGCGGGTCATGTTTACTGTGGCTAGCGGGACGAGTGAGGGCCGCGGGAGAACGGCTCGAGTGAGGGTCGCGGGAGAACGGCCCTCCCGCGAGCGGGACGAGTGGGGCGAGCGGGACGAGTGAGGGCCGCGGGAGAACGGCACGAGTCATGTTTACTGTGGCGAGCGGGACGAGTGAGGGCCGCGGGAGAACGACGCGAGTCATGTTTACTGTGGCGAGCGGGACGAGTGAGGGCCGCGGGAGAACGACGCGAGTCATGTTTACTGTGGCGAGCGTGACGAGTGAGGGCCGCGGGAGAACGGCTCGAGTGAGGGCCGCGGGAAAACGGCCCTCCCGCGAGCGGGACGAGTGGGGCGAGCGGGACGAGTGAGGGCCGCGGGAGAACGGCGCGAGTCATGTTTACTGTGGCGAGCGGGACGAGTGAGGGCCGCGGGAGAACGGCGCGAGTCATGTTTACTGCGGCGAGCGGGACGAGTGAGGGCCGCAGGAGAACGGCACGAGTCATGTTTACTGTGGCGAGCGGGACGAGTGAGGGCCGCGGGAGAACGGCGCGAGTCATGTTTACTGTGGCGAGCGGGACGAGTGAGGGCCGCGGGAGAACGGCACGAGTCATGTTTACTGTGGCGAGCGGGACGAGTGAGGGCCGCGGGAGAACGGCACGAGTCATGTTTACTGTGGCGAGCGGGACGAGTGAGGGCCGCGGGAGAACGGCGCGAGTCATGTTTACTGTGGCGAGCGGGACGAGTGAGGGCCGCGGGAGAACGGCGCGAGTCATGTTTACTGTGGCGAGCGGGACGAGTGAGGGCCGCGGGAGAACGGCGCGAGTCATGTTTACTGTGGCGAGCGGGACGAGTGAGGGCCGCAGGAGAACAGCGCGAGGCCAGTGGCGTGATTACCGATGAGCAACACCTGTGAGAAGCAACGGTCTCGTATCCCTCATGGAGGAGCGGGATTTTCTTAGCAATGTTAAAACGCACATCAACTAGAGGTTCCACAATATATCGTTTCACAAATACAAAAATGCAACAATAGGTATCGTGGATAGTTTCCCCAAAATAAAAGTTAATGTGTGAGAAAAAGTTTTCAGAGTTTTAGTGTCAGTACTACATTGAACTACTATATATAATGTTGATTATAATGTATAATAATGCAATGTGGGAATATTTGTGGGTCCTGATAATTCCAAATGTCTTATGCTACCAGTAAAAAGTGGCCGACATTATTTTCAATATATCTAATCAGTGAAAGAGGGCAAGCGCATTCATCGAAAATAATACTGTATTTTCAGCCTCAGAATCATGTATATTTTTATTCTGGTGTCACCAAGTCCAAGTCTTTTCATTTAAACCTATAATGTAATATCAAATTTAGCATTTAATCAACAGTACATTTTTTGTTAACCTTTTACCATATGTCTTAGAGTATCGCAATAATATCGCATCGTGAGTTCAGTATCGTGATATATATCGAATCGTGACATGAGGGTATTGTTACACCCCTAACATCAACCGATCACTCGTTTAGCGTTCATGTGTTCACGCAAAATGACGATTTTTGCGTCATCTGAGGATTTTTTCCAGACAAAAGATACATATCTCTCGTCTCAGGGGGATGTGAGGGTGGAAAGCATGGTAATTCGACTCTAATTAGCTTAATGCTAAATCCTGAAGTATCCCTTTAAAAAGGACCTATTATGCTTTTTTACATGTTCATCTTTCTTTAATGTGTAATGTTGCTGTTTGAGCATGAAAAAGGTCTGCAATGTTACAAAGCACAAAGATATTCTTTGTATCTGTGGTCTGGAGTTTTCTTCTATGGATCCATTTCAGTGAACTACTCAAGATATCTTGAAAAGACATGTATAAAACAAGTAATGTCAAATGGAGGGGAAAAAACATATAATTGAATTAATCTCTATTCAAGCAAGCCGTAGATTATTAGTAATCTGACAGCATCTTCTTTCAAATGAATTGGCGTAATTACACCAAGAAAAACACCAAACTTGATAACCATTTTATGGAAACCGAGTGTCAATAAGACACTCAGAGAACTAATCACAGCGTCAACTCTTACAATTAAACCTGTTCTCATTACAACTCTATTAAGTGCTTAAAACAAAATGAAGAATCTTATCAGGCCCAGCGAAAGCCTGAGATAACTTCCTGACGCCTGAAAGCACAAAAGAGTAATTAAACTGGTGAAGGATAGGAGTTTCGACAAGATCGACCAATCAGGGCAGCCCCAGTCTGACCGCAAGATTCAAACACACTCACTTTAATCTCAGATAATGATAATAATCAGACACTTTACAAGCTGGAGTCACCAGTGACTAACATAGTGGTCCTGTACAGTGAATGTACAATAATTAGACCGTTTCTCCCATAAAGGCCCTTTGTTTGACACTGGTTGGCAAGTTCAGAAGAGATGCTCAAGAGTTTGAATTGTTTTGGTGCGATTTCCCAAAACTTCTGGGTAGTGATCGACCGAGATATCGGCCGGCCGATATATCGGGCTGATATTTGAGGTTTTTGCGTGTATCGGAATCGGCCGATACACCGTTGCGCGTTCGCCGATAGTTTTTTCCCCCCGGCATTATTTATAGACAGGCGGCCACGGGCAGCTCTGTGCTGCTGGAGATGTGCATTAATTTTTGAAGTTAATTAAATGTTACTTTTATTAAATTGAGACCTGTAACATTTGTTAACATCATGTCATTTTTATGATGTAAATTGAGGGAGCAAAATGTATCGGCTCCAAATATCGGCTCAAGAAAATCGGCAGCCCGTATCGGTCATCGGCTAAGGCTGATGGGGAAAAAAATCGGTATCGGCACTAAAAAATCCATATCGGTCGATCCCTACTTCTGGGGAGAGGTTGGTTCGAATCCATACAATACATAATCCCGAGTATGAGCCAGTGATCACATCCGACCAGCTAGACTTTCATTCTTTTTTGTCGGTTTACAAGTTAAAACACCATTTTATTACAACCAAATCTGTCCCTTTCACTACATGTTGAGGACAACTATACAGTAATTATTCTGATTTGAAGAGGATTATCCATTTTTACATGTTTAACTTTCTTTAGTGTGTAATTAGGGGTGGGGGAAAAAGCGATTCTTCGATGCACATTCTCCCATCAAGTTTGCTTTTTATAGATCACAACCTTTGCGTGGAAACTGGCGTACGTACGTTTCCAGCTCCGTTTTGCAGAGCTATCCAGGCATCTAG